CTTACTTTTCTTGAGTCAACACACGAACCCGAATCCGGGCCCTGGAAGACCTCTCATGTAAGACACACTGAAGGCCATGTGGAGGTAATCATCGTGGACCTGCATCCCCGGTTTGATCTGCAAAAACATCCCCAGAAATGACAGCCAATAGCCCCAGTATTCTCAATCCAGCTCCTCCATCAAGAAGCAGCAGTACAATCGTGTACATTGACCCCGCATCTTCGCTTCCAGTCAGTCATCCAATCACCAACAGTCCGGACTTTGACGGCATGATCACCAGCTCACCCATCCCCCCCCCTCTGAATACTCTGTTAATTCTTGACTCGTGTGTGTGTTGATGTTGGTTACGAAGAGTTTAGGTGGTTGTACCGGCCTTATAAGAGCGAGTGGTAAGGTCGTGCTTCTACCAGGGACCCCTTCACATTAATACAAGCGCGCCATACCGTAAGGCTTGATAAAACCTTGCAATTGTATTTAGCATAAATTCAACAACTGCCAGCGTCGCTCCTGGTAATCTCTGGGCTCGACGAATCGCCTTGTTCCCATGCTCGGGCCCTCCGCACTGTCCGCCGCGAAGAACTGTGGTGAGGAGCAGAGAGTTCGAGAAGGCCACGAAAGAACTCCACACCACACGGAGCATCGTCTTGGAACAAAGCTGTTCGTCATGATCCTCGTCAACCTACTAGGCTGGTGGTGGTGGCAGGTACCTGCGTCCTGGATGTGTCGATACGTACGATACAAGCACACCCACACCACTCTGCCAACAAAAAGATCACCTCGGGAGTCGATCGAGCATCGTCTTGTAGGCGGCAAACCGGTGGATGTGGACGGTCAGGTGGTGATCAGTTCCCATTCCGCCTCTGCGGCCGTATATGACTCTTCTCATCAACGGGCTTCTTTGCCTTCCCTTCTGGTGGATGAACAGGATCTCGTGAACATTCAACACGATGGCCCGCTCCACCGCATACTTGCCACCGCCGCCGACAAGCTGCGTGGCTGCCTCGACTGCCTAAGGGTCCGTCCTATTTCGGGTAACCGAGAGATTGCTGATATTGAGGGCTCGATAGAAGGGTGGTGGACCGCTATATTGGGAACCAAGTTTTGGCCCTCTTCCTTCTCGACTGTCAACTTTCGTTTCCTGCCGTGCGACCACTGGAAGGACTCCCGTCTAGACTCATCAACAATGCTGGGCTGTCTGTGATGGGCAAATTGGCCCAAGCACGTCACATCTCCAAGCTCCCGTCTGTCGAAGCCGCAATCTTGCCTTGTTCGCGATACCAAAATCCCGCCCTCTGTGTGTCCTAAAGGGTACTTGTGGCTGTTTGTGGGGCGTATAGAAGCACTGTCCATCCGATTCGGAGCAAGTCGCTTTTTCCAACGGCTCGAAACGTCAAAACGGGCGGTGGTAGACCGTTTCAGGATTAACTGGTAAATTACGGTCTGCACCGCGCACGTGCATCCGCAGCCCAGCCGAGTGCGTTAGTGGCTTGGGGAACAGCGACTTCCACTGGGCGCCCAAAAAGGCGGTCGGTCCGAATGCTTGCAATTAGACCCTTGTACACACCACCACCAGCCACACAACTTGGTGTGAAAGAGCCTCAGTACACGACATCTCCAGCTGTCGGGATACAGAAATATCGGGCTATCGAATATCAATAAGCCCCAGGTTTAACCCTATGCCAACCTCAACCCTAACAACTCGGACCAACTCCTCCACCAGCTAAAGATCTGGATACCTACCACAGAACGATCCAGACAATTGTATTTCTGTCCTCGTACATTCGCTAACCACTCAGCCGCCCAAGAGTCCCTAGAAACGGCTCATCTGGCCCTCTTCAGCCTCGCTGTCCTCCTCCCGCTACGCTCCGCTCCCTTGGTGACCGTGTGGGAGGTCATGGGACTTTTCGATATATATTAACCGGCACACACAAACCCTGGCTACACATGGCATACATTGACACCACCCGTCTAGACCCACGCTAGTCTAAGGTGCGGCTGCCGCAGACGATATTACACACGCCCGATTTCTCGTTGGAAAAGCACGGATGTCGTCGATATTCGGACGTGGCCTGCATGTGCCATCCTGATTCTGTCGTCGACTGTCCACACCCGGTCTTACAAGACTTAGGGGTGCATATGTGGCCGTCATGCCGTCCTGTCTGTCTCTGTCTGTGGCTAATCAGTTCCCCCCCTCAAGCCAGCTTCCCCCGCTCTCACGACCCCACCCCGCCGAAACCGTTGTCACCGGTGCAGGTATGTAACGGGTAAGAATGCGGGCACGGGCACGGACGACGGGGGCGGGTGCGGGGACCGCTGTGAAGTAGAGTCACCGATCACCAGTCCGATTTGCTGGCCTGGCCCAACAAGACAGCAGTTCATCACGGCGCTTCAGGGGCGTGCCCTGCTCCCAAGATTCCAACGGTAGCTTACAGAGAGATTTGAAAGCTTCCTACCTTCTTCTTTGTGGGTAGTCGCGTCTAACCGCGCCTAGTGGTGTAGTATCACACGGGATGACATTTCGCAAACCTCACCACCAGGTAGATCCGGATATACCAGTAGGAAATTACGCGGGCAGACGACTTCTTGTCCGGGAAGCTTGGTGAGTGCCGACAGCCGTGGCTTGCACCACCGGACACCCCCGGCAGGACCCCCAGGTCAACGAAGCCTTCGGTACCGGAAGACCACCTTGGTTTTTTCTGCTGTCCTCGGGGGCCAGCCCCACACCCCAAACTGGCTCTTCATGTCCGGCGACCGCACCACCGCGCACTCGCTTCGCACCTGACGGGCCTTGGCTTTCGGCTTTGCTTACCCCTCTCTCTGTCCTTCCTCATCATGAGCACACATCGCCATTGCCCCCATCTCGCGGGAACCAGACTCGACTCCTGAGCGGTTAGCCACCGCTGGCCATCTTAGCTGCAGGACACACGATTCGGATGACACGGCGGCAAAGTTCCCTGTTCTTTTGTCGAGGCCCCCCCTCCCTGGACCATGTTCTTCCGCGGGGCCCTTGGGTCACGGCTTACTTTTGTTGCTGCAGATTGTCACGATCCTTCCCGCTCACATGCTCGACACGGCACTCTTGTATGTGTGGAGGCGGGCGAGCATTATCATGGCACATGCCTGTATGCAATGTCGTCGTCTCTTTCAGGTCGAGAAGGGTTGGCAGATATGCTGCTGTATCCAACAACCGAGAATATTTTTGATCATACGAGCCATCTGGGCCACCCACAAATTCCACAGACGAGAGCCTCACCCATGGTTCTATCACACAATAGGGACTCGTTGTAGTCCGAGCCTACCTAGCTGCCTCTGGTCATCATGTTCTTTATTGCTGTTCTTCACCGTCAGAACTATTAACACGTAGACTAAGGTACTCAGCTTCTTGTATCAAATGAGGGGAATACCGGCAGCATCCGTGTTGCATATATCCCAAAACGGAAACCTACGCCCGTCTTATTAGACGTCCCTCTTCGATATCTGACACAGCAGCTGCTACGTAGTTGAAAAAGAAGATGATCAACCGATCTGCACCGTTCGCCCGAGATGCCCACACGTGGTGATGATCTTTTGAGCGGACAGTAGCCCGGCTTGCTCCTTTTGGTAGGACCAATCCGGGGGAGTGTGGTTGTTACCTACCCACAGACAAAACCCTGATTTTTTTTAAAAACATATGTGAGAGCTGTGAGGTTTAGGTTACCAAGATCGGCCGGATTGGAAGTTTTGGGGGAAAAGATGGAGAAGAGACGCGGGATTGGGAGGGGGGGGGGAGTGGTTGCTCCGGATCTCATCGTGAGGTGAACTCATAGGTTATTAGTTGTAGACGAGAACGTGATAAGTGAAGTTATGTGTGAAAAGCAACTTGGATACACTGAGTAGGCGTTTCTGTATACACCCATCGATAACTCATAACGTTTTTTTTTCCATGATTTGACGAATCCGGACTTGAGATCACCACTCTTGAATGAAGCCACTAGCCATCGTGCATACCTACAAGACCATCGCCAAACCCTCACACCTTGAATCAATTTCCGGGCTCACATGGACGATCTGTAAACCATGATGAATCAGTATAGCATTGCCCATTATATTCCACTCCTCAGGTTTTCACATGATCTTAGCGCTTCTCTGCCAGGTAGGTAACTGTTCAATGGCGCCCAAAGCCACCTACATCACCACCTCCATACCCCACATTATGGTGAGACAGATCGATGTCCCTGTTGCTTCAAAACCGCTGCAACAAAAAGAAAAGAAAAAAAAAAGCTTGTGTAAACTCCCCAGGCATTGACACGTTCACAACATCAGACGAAAAACTGGGCGATCATTCATGTTCTGGTTTTACCCCAGATCTTTTTTGCAGATTGGTTCTCGGATCTGCATAGCTGCCGGCCGTGAGTTGCCGAGAGGGGAGAGGCATAAAGATGTCAGTGTTTCAGGTCTTTCTAGTGGGAATTGTGCGGGGGTGAGGTAGAGAGGTGAGGGGTGAAAAAGAGCTTCACTTGGCCCCCAACCTGACTTTTATGCGTCATTGGCTTTTCTGGTTGGAGCATGGAGGGATGAAAATGAAGTTCATGTGTGAGGTTGTTGGGTGGATTAACAACGAGCGGCATTGTAGTTGATGGGTTTATGACGTGAATGGCATTTAACTAGATGAGATCATGCGAGATACGCAGTCAGTCAGTCAGTCAGTCAGTTGAACAGAATATTTGCTGTGAAATGCAACTGTTTTCGCATCATGATATCTCCTATTAGTTCCTTTGGCCTTTCTATGTCTTTACAACATTATTCCCAACCACCCAACCAAAAACACCAAAAAACCAACCTCCCAACCCAACGCCGTCCCATAAGTCCCAGATCCCGTGTTCTTAGATGCAGCCCCGGCCGGAATGCTCGTCGGACCATCCCCAGCATCATTTTCGCAGTCCGCATGCCCAAAAGAAGACAAAAAATAAGCTACACCGAGCGCAGCCCACCCGCACCACACAGCGTATCCCATGCTTGGCTTACTCTTTGAAAATAACATGATTAACCTGCGTCGTCAAAACCCTCTCCCCCACCGCCTTCCCAATCATCCCCGTCCCAACATCCCTCTCAAAGACATTAACCCTATTCTCCCCCCCGCAAGCAACAGCAACCAGACTCCCGTCCTTGTTGAAGCTGAAATGTCTCGGGAACGAGCCACCGGCCGGGGCACTCTGGACATGGGTCAACTCCCCAGTGGCAGGGTCGATGGAAAAGGTGTTCAGGGCGTCAGACGGGATCTTTGTGCCGTCGGCAACGGAGGTGTATTCTAGCGTGGTCTCGTTGCGGGTTGAGACGGTGAGGAATTTGTTGTTAGGCTGTGTATGTCGTGGTTAGAGTGGATTTTGAGAAGGGGGTGCGAAGGGGGAGCTTACAGAGATGGTAATTTCAGCACCGGAGGAGCCTTCGGCCGGTGCGTTCTCGCTGCCGTCGGTTCTGATGTTGAATTTCTCCGACAATGTCAAGCTGTTGGTGCCGTAAGAGACTTCGAACCCGAGGATGGAGACCTTCTTTTCGGCGATGACGTAGAGGAAGGTCTTGTCGCCTGACTTGAGGAAGGCAGCGTGACGAGGCCCGGTTCCGTTCCCGAAGGGGTGTGCCGGCTGAGTTTGTCAATATTGTTGTTAAAAAGCAAGAGAAGAGAGAGGAATACATACCAGCTCTGTGAGTGTCAGCGCAGTTTGGTCGATGCTGAAGATATGGAGGACGTCGACGGAGAGATCGGGGATGACAACGAATCCACCAGTGGGATCAACAACTGCTTGGTGAGGCCTGGAAGTGATGGTTTCGTTGTCGGCCCGTGGGGGAAAAGGTTTGTTGTCCAAGGATTGCAGCTTGGCTGGGTCCTCAATGTTGAAGACATCGAGAGAGGATGATGCACTGAGAATGGTTGTCAGTGGTTGGATTACTCTAATTTTTGTCATGCAAGATGTATTCAAGGACCTACAAGTTGGAGGTGATAGCTCTCTCCCCATTCTCACCAAAGAGAGCAATATGCACTGGGCCTCCAGGCGTAGAACTGTTTCCCACAAAAGCGAGAGTGCCGTCCGTATTCACCTTAGCTGAGGTAAAAGCGCCAGGGCCGTCGTCGAAGTTCTCATTGATGCAATAATATTGATCGCCTCCAACGAGTGTTTGCCATGAAGGGTTAGTACCGCAGATGGACGAGATTTCGCCGACCTGCTCTAGGCCCTTGTTTCCCAGCTTCAATGTCGTAACTCCTCCCTTGACAATCTCTCCTGGGGAAGACTCAAACGGGTATGAAGACACAAGAAGAAGACCTTGCTTTGAACAAGCGGCTGCGGATGATAATGAGAGGCCGGCCGACAAGGCAGCAAAGATGCCGTGTGTGGCTCTCATGATGATTGATGGTTGGTGGATGAGATTGATGTAACGCTAGCTGGCGATTGACTATTGGCCAGAAGAATGGTGTCGTGACGGTGTAAGTTGAGTTGCCGGGAGAGGAAAGCTTTTCTGTTCAGCAGGTTGGCTGCGTGTGGTTGTTGTTGAAGAAATCAAGTAGATCTAGAATAGAGAAACGAAAAGATGTCCATCAAGGGATATCCAGAAGTTCGCCCTGTGCGGCGCGTGCGGCTTTATAAGGGGATCTGTCGATCTCAACACAGCCGTCCAGTCTTCCAACAGTGTGTCAACAAACGTGCCTCATTCACTGTTCACTTGATTATTTGGCCCCTGAGCCACCGGGTCGGTATCGGCTGACGGCCAGTTGGTTCACTCGCATTCAACGTCATTGGTCTTGCTGCCACTCATGATTCCGGGCTCAGAGTTGGTGAGACCACCTGGCGGCCAGCCATGAAAGAGGGAACAATCGTTCAGCAACCCCTTGCAGGTCAGCGCTGTGCCTCGTTACGCATGGCTGGGATCGGAGGATCTAACTGCAAGCACAAGGCAAATGTGTATGTAGCTGCTGACTGAGGCTTGACAACCGGATCCGAAGAGCACCAATCCTTTGGATGACTTGACTACCGGTGGGAAACATGTGGAAACATGTGAGAATGTACATCACGGGCAATCAGTAAGACAATGGTTTAGGTTTTCCGACGGGCAATTCCAGTGCTGTTGGAGATGTGACGTGTGTTAGAGAATGTGCGAGGTTGAGAATAACGGCTGGCTGAGAAGTCGTGGTGATTCTCAGCCAATCAAATCGCTGGATTTCCAAACTGCTGCGGCTGGAGAGGCGGGGCGGGACAATGCCTGCCTCCAATTAGCGGCCGTGGCGGGACCCGAGCATGCGGGGAACCTGCTGCCGGCGCCCTGGAGGCTCGCTGAGATCCACTAAAACACAAACAAGCTCGCTGTAACGGCCCCACCAGAGTCTTGGACAGCTTCAACGTTGGATTTCTCGTCGCCTACCTGCATTCGGTCAGTTATCTCAGAATCCTGTTAGTGGTGTGTATGTCTGACCGAGCATCAGCGAGTTGCATGTTTCAAATCGACACATCGGACATCAATCAACTGTTCTTCCGGTCCTGCCACGCGTGCCCCTGACGATCGATGGTCATGCTTGTAACTCCCGAAAGCTCACCTTCATCACACCTGTCAGGCCACTTTATTGTTCAGTTCTGTTGGCAGTAGAAAGGCATGGAACGGTCAAACACTCAAATTCATGGCTCGTCCCAACATCATGGCCTCCCAAGACCTTTGCCACAGAGGTCGTGGAAGCCGGACTGGTGACCACCACACGACCCGTCACCAACATCCAGAGTGGTAGGACTCACAGGGCTATTCTCGTCATCACACACTCCTTCCCGGTTAAAACGCCGCCGGGATGCGAGCGAGGCTGTAGTCGCAGACCCCGCGCCTTGCTTCTCGTTCGGGAACCCAATGTCCGGATGACATTCCGCTTCGTTGCCAGTTAGATACATCTCATGCCCCGGAATATGGGCAGCTCCATCTCGTCCAGGAGGCCAGGCTGAAAGAACATTCCCATACCAATTTACAATAACCGTGGAGTCTTGTCTTCAACACTCACCTTGCCGGAACGAACCGAACAAGCTGATATATGATACAGCACTTGTATATCCCACCACCGTGTTCCTGGAAAGCCGATATTGCAATCAATGATGGAGTGCTTCTGGAAACCACACCCCCAGGCAAAAGTCACACTCGATGACTGCACCCAAATCATCTTCTCGCCCGCCGTGTTCATCATCATCTGACTTTTGCTTGGGCCAGAGTTTCCCCGCGTTGGTACCCAAGCGAGGTGATACGGCATGCACGTGGAAGAATCCAGCCCTTCTGTTCTCTCTCCAAGCCTCCCCCTCACCACAACCATGGGGCTAACACGGATTTCTCCAAATTCCAACTCCAACCAACATCTGCACTCCACACAATTGCCGTGGCTTACACGATCCGGAATCCGAAAAAGGAGGGACAGCTGCTTCCCCTCTCGATACGCTTTAGATGCCTTGCAGCAACGTAGGCTACGCTAAAACCAACCGCCGTGAACAACCGCTGGCTCAACCAAGTGCCATCATCAATTTTCCCCAGACCCGAGCACTGTAATGGTCTCTTTTCTTATTCACCTTCCTATTCTGGCGGACACAGGCTAACTGAATAATACTAAACCCATGTCCCACGTCGCTTGATGGCCCTACGTTGGTCCCTCGAGGTAGCAGTACCACAGCGTCAAGATAATTTGCAATGCCGCGGCTGATGTTGTCTGCATATATATCTTGCAGGGTAAAAAGCTACTTCGCAGAAGACAAAGAGTGATGGTACTCGGTTCTCTGCCCTCGGACAGGTACCTATCCTACGTCTGCTCCCATGTCGGCCAAGGGTCTCGAATTCTTGGACGAGCCGTCAGCCGAACCCTGCTTGACCACCGTTTCGATCAACGGAAATCACAGACAGACAGACAGACAGACAGACAACGACCCATTCATCAGGCACATGTACATTTTCTCCCCTTGCTCCCCAGGAACCGACGTGACAACCATCACGAACGCCACCTTTCCTAGCGTCGGGACTCAAGCAGTTGCGCGAAGTTACGTTGTGGACTTTATCCGTCCCTTTTAGCCGTGAACAAACCCTGTCGTGCCATGCAGCCATTGCTTGGCCCCTAGCTTGCCAACCTCAACATCATTTGTCTTGGGCGTGGTTGTTGATGTCTGTCTGTTGGATCATGATGGCAGGCTGTTGTTCAACGGTCAGAACCGTGAAGAGGTGAGCTCTGGGTTTGTGAGACGAAGAAGAAAAGGTCAAAGCTTACGAAGTTACTCTCACTCGCTCGGGGGTTCTTTCTAGGTGCCGGAAAATTTAGATCACCAGAGAATTGATTATGGGAGGACGAGTGACATGTACCTATGCAAGTCATCCTTTCATCCAGCTCGTATTATGCAATACCTTTTACCAAGGGGACAAGACAATACTCAGAGCCCCCCAAGACCAGGGAAAAGACATTATTCTGTTCCCTTTC